AATAATTATTACTTTATTATATAAGGACTAAAACTTCTCAAAAAACTGTCATTTTCAACAAGAACACGAATAACTAATAATATGTATTGTAGCTGTGATATTTAAAATAATCGAAAATTCAAAAGTTGACTATGAATTTAAACGTCAAACTTGACGATCAGGAAAAAAGTTGGAATGACAATAGTTTAATAGAAAAACAAAGATCTTAAACAATAGAAATAACATACAATTTGCAGTGATAAGGTATAGAAATTGTTCAAAATTATCACTGTTTTCTCTCAGGCGTAAATTTATGTCTACCCTATCTAGTAACTGTTGATTGTTTCTAATGAATGTGCATTTATCCGTAATGCGATTATACAATTCTGCTCGAGATGCAACTGGCGAGGAATACATAAATTCTTTTAACCTTCCCCAAAGAAAGAAGTCACATTTGATCGTGATCGTGGAGGCCAAACTTGTTGGCAATTAAGGCCTCTTCTAATCCATTTATATATTTATACTGGTGGTTTTAAAAGTCTCTAGCATATTACTAAAATTCCTTATCAGTGCAAATTGCATATTCTTCTGTTGTTTAAGTTATTTGTTTTTCAATTAAATTATTCTTATTCCAAATTTTTCTCTGATTGTCAAGTTTGACGTTTAAATTGATGATTTTAAATAACACAGCTATTATTAGTATTATTAGTTATTCGTGTTTTTGTTGAAAAAGTCCATGTATAACATTTTATTAAAACAAGCTTTTAGTGATGTCATTTTATTTTCGGTGTTCTTCTCAGCAAACCCTTTCATTTGATACCCAATCATGGGGAAGCATAAGAAATAACTGGTCCGCCATATTGGATTTAGAATGACGTCACTTAGCTAACCATGCATTCTAATCCAAACGAAACGTGTATGCATAATTGTTTTAAAATTCAGTTGCAAGATTTGACCATACTAACAAGGCAAGTTAAAAAGCTTGTAATAAAAAAGTAATTTAATTTTAGTAATTTTTTGTTTAGTGTTTTTTTTATGGCCGGGAAGCTTTCATTTAGCCAACAAGTTGACATGCTATTAGTATTAGGTTTCTGTGAAGGGAACTATAGAAGAAGTGTTGAAGAATATGGGAGGAGATTTCCAAATCGTATAATCCCCCATAGAGAAACATTTTTCAACGTTGAAATACGGGCTCGAGAAACAGGCAGCAGGTTTTCAGTAACACTCAAGAATGTGCTATTGCAATTTGGGCACAAGAGGAAGTACTTATTTTGAATACAATTAACGATGACTCACATCTACTAGAATTCTATCTCAAAAAACTAGTATATTTATTTATTTATTTATTTATTTATTTATTTATTTTGGATACACCATTCCACAGAAATTAAATTCCAATTACGGAGTCGGAGTACAAAGAATAATTACAATAGAGAGAAATACTGAAAAAAAAGAGAGATTAAACCTATATAATAAGTAAATATAAGATAAACATGCGACAACTAACATGGTGAAGACAGAAAAAGTACGCAGTATAAGTAATATAGGTACAAACAACCTATTGATATTCGGTTAATTTAGGTCATGCTCAAAATATGCGTAGTATTTTCTTTAATTTCATTTATGTTACAATTAAAAACATCTACAAGATGTGCAATTTTTGTATAGCTTGAGCATGCCTGAAACAATGGGGAAGCTTTTAGGAGATTTGTACGAGGGATAGGCAAACAGAACATTTCAGGAGAAGGCGAAGTTAACCTAGCCATATTAAAGTTAAGTAAACTTAATATCTGAGGACACACGCCAAAATGATTTAACACAAGGTTCTGAGGAAAATTAATGGGGGGGGGTAATACAAATTTTCTTTATAAAATAAGTACTTTAAAAACTTTTATTTATGTGAACTGTATATAGCGGTTTTATATAAAATAAATAACGATCCCTAAATTTTTGTATGAGGTCTTCAAAAATCTATCAACATGTTCAACAAACGAAAGCTTACAATCAAATACAATCCCTAAATGAGGGTAGGTCGATCTAAAAATACATCATTAATGTGGTAACCAAAGCTCAATGGATATATTTATCTACTAAATGATATAACATTACATTTTTTAGAATTCAGTGGCAGTTTATTAGTTATACACCAATGATTGACGAAAATTAAAGCATTTTGCAGCCGTTCACAGTCCTTAGAAGTATCAGTCCTCGTATACAACTTCATATCATCAGCGTACATTAAAAAATTGATATCAAAGGAATTTATTATGTTATCCAAAAATATATTGAACAGTAGAGGTCCCAGGACTGAACCCTGAGGTTGTACATATTACGTTCTATCAGCCAAGTATGACACAAACAAATCAACTAAATTCTCAGATAATCCGTAACCACCCAATCGTCCAATCTAAATTTTGTGATCCAGTCTATCGAAGGTCTTCGAGAAATCTGTGTATATAATATCTGCCCCGATTATCCAAAACATCCGCGACATATTAAGTCACACACGAGTTTAGTTGTAGTAGATCTCCCGTTCATAAAACCATGTTGATTTATGGTTACAATATTTTTGACATGGTTATAAACATACAAGATATTCTCAAAGACCTTACAGAAACCACAGATTAGTGCAATGGGTTATATCACTCCTGTCACCATTCTTAAAAATAGGGCATAAACATGAAACTTTCCATAATTAAGAAACTTCCTTGATTTCAATATTAAATTAAATATGGCAGTGAGAGGACGGATAAAGGTGCTATAGCAAACTTCCGTGCACTCAGTGATCAAACGTAATCCACCAAGTACACCCATGTCATATCCAAAAAGTGCAAGAATTGTTACCGAATAATTTGAGTGAATTTTCTGTCAGTTTATTTTACATCAAGACATTAATTTTCAAAANCTATCAACATGTTCAACAAACGAAAGCTTACAATCAAATACAATCCCTAAATGAGGGTAGGTCGATCTAAAAATACATCATTAATGTGGTAACCAAAGCTCAATGGATATATTTATCTACTAAATGACATAACATTACATTTTTTAGAATTCAGTGGCAGTTTATTAGCTATGCACCAATGATTGACTAAATTTAAAGCATTTTGCAGCCGTTCACAGTCCTTAGAAGTCTCAATCCTCGTATACAACTTCATATCATCAGCGTACATTAAAAAATTGATATCAACAGAATTTATTATGTCATCCAAAAATATATTGAACAGTAAAGGTCCCAGGACTGAACCCTGAGGTTGTACATATTACGTTCTATCAGCCAAATATGACACAAACAAATCAACTAAATTCTCAGATTAATCCGTAACCACCCAATCGTCCAATCTAAATTTTGTGATCCAGACTATCGAAGGTCTTCGAGAAATCTATGTATATAATATCTGCCCCGATTATCCAAAACATCCGCGACATATTAAGTAACACACATGAGATTAGTTGTAGTAGATCTCCCGTTCATAAAACCATGTTGATTTATGGTTACAATATTTTTGACATTGTTATAAACATAATGATACAAGATATTCTCAAAGACCTTACAGAAACCACAGATTAGCGCAATGGGTTATATCACTCCTGTCACCATTCTTAAAAATAGGGCATAAACATGAAACTTTCCATAATTAAGAAACTTCCTTGATTTCAATATTAAATTAAATATGGCAGTGAGAGGACGGATAAAAGTGCTATAGCAAACTTCCGTGCACTCAGTGATCAAACGTAATCCACCAAGTACACCCATGTCATATCCAAAAAGTGCAAGAATTGTTACCGAATAATTTGAGTGAATTTTCTGTCAGTTTATTTTACATCAAGACATTAATTTTCAAAAGAAAATTCTCTTTACTGATACTTCCCGCAGAGGTATTACAAATTTGCATAACTATCATGAGTATTCTGATGTAAACCCTCATTCAGCATCTCCTCGACATTTCCACCGTGAGTTTAAAATAAATATTTGAATCGGTGTTATTAGTCGGTATTTAATTGGTTCAGTTATTTTACCGAATCGAAACTTATTTAGAATTTCTTCAGAACACTCTCCCGGATATACTTGACGAAGTGCCACTATAACTCAGGCTGGAACATTGGTTTATGTACGATGGAGCACCCCCTCATTTTAGTAATACTGTTCGAGACTTTTTAAACCACCAGTATCCAAATAAATGGATTGGAAGAGGAATTAGTTACCCACAAGTTTGGCCTCCATAATCACCAGACCTAAACAAATGTGACTTCTTTCTTTGGGGAACGTATTATTCGCCACTTGCGTCTCCAGCAGAATTGTGGAATCGCATTACGGATAAATGCACGTTCATTAGAAACGATCAGTAGTTAGAGTAAACTTCAATTTTCGAATAAGAATAAAACGCCTGAGAGAAAACGGTGATCATTTTTTGTTTATTTTTCTATTAAATTAATCTTATTCCAACTTTTTCCTGATCGCCAAGCTTAACTTTTAAATTCATAGTCAACTTTTGAATTTTCGATGATTTTAAATATAACACACCTACAATATGTATTATTAGTTAAGTATTCGTGTTATTGTTGAACAGTTTTTTGAAAATTAACAAGAGTAAGAAAAGTTTTAGAATTAAATTCCCCCGAAAATAAAGTAATATTTTTTTAACTCCGCCAACGGGTTAAAAAATTCTGTTACATTTTTAATGGTGCATCTTCCCTTATCAACCCTTTAAAATGCTTCAGTTGAACTCTGCTTACTGTCGATTAATGTTCTTGGTACACTCACACCGAATAACTAAGATATTGATTTTTAAAAAATTTGAAGTCCCACTTTCAAGGCCTGTAACTTCTTAGGGGTGCAGCTTAGTATGAAGGTAAGTTGCGTTAAATCAAATAGGTTCCCCTACACGCCCCTGCTCTGTGTCGGTTCTTATGCGAAACACCCTGTACACAACGTTACTCCTTCTGTTTTACGAATCATTTGTGTCTGTAACTTTCATACATAATAAAATTATCTTACTAATAGACAATAAAATTTTAAGGTGCAACTGTAGTGTACCGAACAGCGATCAAAATCCATGTTGTCCACAGTGTAATAAAAAACATGCTTGTCAGCATCAGGAACTCTCTGGTGTTATTCTACACCACGGAGAGCAATGGTCTTATCAGTGTCAGACGTGTGAATGCCTCTATGGAGAAGTGGATTGTTGGGAAATGAAGTGTCCACCTTTATTATGCGAGAACCCAGTTAGAAATTCTGTGGACTGTTGCCCACACTGCAACGATCCTTGCTCGATTGGGAATTCTTCAGCCTTAGGACAAACTTGTACATTTGCAGGTCAAATATATTCATCCAGCTCTCAATTTGTCGACCCGAATGATGCCTGTACGGCTTGTAACTGTAAGGTTAGTTATTACCTGCACAATTTATTAATTTTATCGACCTAATTATATAGCTCTAGTTTTGTTTTGTGGTTTAAATGCAATAAACATAACATACATTTACATAACATATATTTATATTAATTTAGCTTAATATGACAGTTATTATACATTAACATGTTCATTTACCCAAATTTTAAAGTAAATTTTGAAACATCAGGAAATGAGTCCATTTTTATCTTGTGGGGGACATATTTTAATATTTTCTTACTTATATATATAAACTTGCGATAGGTACCTTAAAATCAAATCTTGTACAGGGTGATTCACTATATTTTGCCCCCCCTCCCTTTAACTTTTTTGTTGTAAGAGTTATAAAAAAAATGTGAAATACAAAAGTTGCACGATTTTTTATGAAATTTTCGAAAATTATAGAAAAACAAATGAGGTTCAAACAAAATGGCCACGGATGTTAACTTTGTTAATTTAAATGGAACACCCTGTATATTTTTACATATTTCGATAGAACGTTCTCTGTCGAGCACAGTCATATATGGTTTGTTGGGTCTATCCCTAACAATAAGCGAGTTAATATTAAAAAACGAAAAGAAGGTTTTTTATTAAGAAAATAAGATATATGGACGTCTTTCAAGCATTTCCGCCTTTTCCCCAATTACATAAGGATTTAGATTTATTTGTAATATATTTTGACATATCGAACATTGATATGTCAAAATGATGGGTATAAGTATTTTAACTAAATCTCACTAATTAGGCCGTTAGAGGCCTAATTACTCATGGACAATGTTATGTGATAGGCCGTGACAGTGACAGGTAATGTCATGACAACATTGTTATTGTTTGACAGTTTGTATTGTTATTTAATTAAAATGGGTTACACAGAAGTAGAAAATTCAAATATTATAGGAATTAAGATAGAGTAGTTAAGATATTCTCCATACTTATATTTAATATACTATTTATATACCTGTCACTGTCACGACCTACCATATAACATTGTCCATGAGTAATTGGCCTCACACGGTCTATTATAGTGAGATTTAGTCAAAATACCTATACGCATTTTGGACTATATCAATGTCCGATATGTCAAAATCAACTAAATCTAAATCCTTACTTAATTGGAAAAATGGCAGAAATGTCTGAAAGAGGTCTAACAATTACAAGATGTCTTATTTTCTTAATAAAAAAGCCTCTTTTCGTTTTTTAATATTATCTCTAACAATAATAGAGATGGGCCCAACAAACCCTATATGGCTATGCTCGACAAGGAACGTTCTATCCAAATATGTAAAAATATACAGGGTGTTTTTTGTTTTTTGTTTGGACTTCATTTGTTTTTCTACTATCATTTTCGAAAACATCATAAAAAATCGTGCAACTTTTGTATTTCACATTTTTTTATAACTCTTAATACAAAAAATTTAAAGGGGGGGGGTCAAAATATAGTGAATCACCTGTACATTTGAATCAAGAATTTTTTCGTGTGGTCCGACCATTCGCTAAACACAGCCACAGTTTAGCTCTCCTGATATAACACCCCTAGATTACTTCTACATTACATTTGTTTATAAAACAAAGCCATTACTTAAATATAGACAACTTGAGAAACAGAGTATTTGAGGAATTGCAAGAAATTACTAAAGAAACTTTAATAAACGTTGCGAGTCGTTCTATTATAGGTTGGGATATTGCCAAATTTAAGTGTGACAGTTTGAACATTTATTAAAATAGATTTTTTTATTCAAAGTATAATCGCGTAATTGTATTGGTTTTTCGTTTGTGTTTTTTAATAATAATAGTGTGTATTTAAGAGAAAGTAGTTGTAACTCCTTTGTTTTCTAAAATTTTCCAAAAAACTTTACATTACTGTAAAGAGAATGAAATTATCTTTCATATGACTTATCATAAGCCATACTGTGCAATTTAAAAAAATGGAGGGAACCTTGAGGGGGGTAGGGGAGGTAAATGTAAACCTTTCTTTACACGTCAAAAAATGACAAATGGAATGTATTTTCTGAAGTATATCTGAACTTTACCTAAAATTCACTCTTAATCTAGATATCTTGTTGTTCCGGGAATTTTGGGACACAGTGTATAAATTAATTAGTAAAATTAGGTATCTTTAATATTGTACAATTTATAAATTATATTACATTATACTAACTAAACACTTAAAGTTCATTGCCTCGATCTCAGGTGCTAAACCACATCAAAGTTAAGTTTACTACTACCTATACCTACCAATTTTAACGAAGTTTTATTGATTTGTAATGACTAGTTAAAACATTGAAAGTTTTTTGAGTATTTTTAAAGAAATTGTTTCATTTCTTTAAAAAATCGACAAAATGCTGGATCCGTACTCCATCCAGCTTGAATTGTGTTGGTACAGCTACAATCTAGCTGAATCGAAAATGCTGCTGGATTGGAATCCCTAGTTCCAGGATGTGAAATTGAAGGAAAACTATTGGAAATTTCAAAGAAAATGCTGTACCTCTCAAACTACAATCCGGAGCACTTTTTTGCTTGGGATGCTGAATGTTGAGATGTTTGAGAATATTCCATTAAAATTTGAATGACTTGCAATGGGTTCCAAGGGGTGAAATAGAAGGAAAACTATTGGAAATTTCAAAAAAAATTCGGTATCTCCCAAATTACAATCTAGAGCACTTTTTTGCTTGGTATGCTAACTGTTGAGAAAATTTTAAGGACTTGCAATGGGTTCCAGCGTGTGTAATTGAAGGAAAACTATTGGTTTCAAAGAAAACTCGGTATCTTCCAAATTACAATCCGAAGCACTTTTTCGCTTAGTATGCTGACTCTTGAGATGTTATAGAAAATCCCATTAAAATTTGAATGACTTGCAATGGGTTCCAGGGTGTGAAATTGAAGGAAAACTATTGAAAATTTCAAAGAAAATTCGGTATCTCCCATATTACAATCTAGAGCACTTTTTTGCTTCGTATGTCAATTTCTAACACGTTAGAGAATATCCAATTAAAATTTGAACGACTGGCAAAGGGTTCCAGGGGGTGAAATTGAAGGAAAACGATTGGAAATTTCAAAGAAAGTTCGGTATATCGCAAACTACAATCCAGAGCACTTTTTCGTTTACTATGCTGACTCTTGGGACTTTAAAGAAGATCCCATAAAAATTTGAACGACTTGCAATGGGTTCCAGAGTATGAAATTGAAGGAAAACTATTGGAAATTTCAAAGAAATCTCGGTATCTCCCAAATTACAATCCGAAGTACTTTTTCGCTTGGTATGCTGACTCTCGAGATGTTAGAGAACATCCCATTAAAATTTGAACGACTTGCAATGGGTTTCAGTGTGTAAAATTGAAGGAAAACTATTGAAAATTTCAAAGAAAATTCGGCATCTCCCAAATTACAATCCAGAGCTTTCGTATGCTTTCTGAGACGTTAGAGAATGTCTACTTAAAATTTGAACGACTTACAATGGGTTTCAGGGTGTGAAATTAAAGGAAAACTATTAATTAAATTTTTATACAAACGAAGATCGATAGATCCTGTAAGATATTACAACTCTTTCTTTTCTATCGAGGAATTAGAATTTGCTCTAAACGACACAAAAAACATTTACCCCGGGGTTAGACTCCGTGGTAAACGATATGTTAAAAATCTAACCACTGAAATAAAATCGTATTACTAATCGTAACATTTTTAACAAAATATGGAATGAAAATACTTACCCTGTTGAATGGAATGAGGCTATAGTTGCCCCCATATTAAAAGCTCTTCTTCCTACGAGTTTCCGTCCAATCAGTGTAACCATTGTATAGGGAAAGAAAAGATGGTAATAATAATAAATCGGTTGATGTGAGTCCTGGAAAAAGAAAATATTTTAATGCCATACCAATCTGGTTTTAGAAAAGGCAGATCCATCTTGCTGCCATGGAGAATTATATTCAAGATGCTTTCAGGAAAAGAGAGTTTGTTGTGATACTACCTGGCGATATGGTGATTTACAAAAAATGTATAAGTACGGTTTATGTGGTAGACTTCCATTACTCATAAAATCTTTTCTGAGTGACAAAAAATATGTGTCAAAATCGGAAATACTCATTCTGAGCTTTACACTTTAGAAAATGACCAGGAATCAACTCTCAGCTGTTCCCTATTCGCCCTTGCTATAAACAAAATTGCTGAAAACATTCATAATTCAATATCACGATATCTCTATGTCGATGTTCTTTCGATTATGTTCTGGGAGAAATCAACCGAAAACTACAGCCAGCAATAAATTCCATCATTAAGAATGGTGAGGCTTCACGCTTGCCAAAGAAGAAATGCACTACATTTATTTTTGCCAGCTCAGAGAACCACATTATCATCCAATGCTGTTCGCAGATGATATTGTGAAGTTTCTAGGCCTCATTTTCGATAGGCACTAACATGATCCGAACATATTGATAAATGTCGTAAGTTCTTAAATATAATTCTCTCATTCAAAATGGAGTGCGCATACTGTATGCTTGATAAGAATTTATGCTATCATTCTATCTCGCCTCGATTACTGTTGTGCTGTTTATTCGTCTGCTCGCAATAGTTGATTACGTAAACTAGATACAATCCTTCCTTAGAATGATGAATGATCCACAGATGAATCCGTCTCCCATAGATATTATTTACATTGATGGTTCCAAAACAAATAGTGGAGTAGGTTGTGCCTTTGTTGTAAATGTTTTCAAATGGACTTTGCATTTTTATGCATATGTCATAAATATTTTCCTGCTCAACAATATGCGATATGTCCTGAGCCCCGTTAACAAAAATTTCATAATTGTTAGCGATTGTGTTACAGAGTATAACGAGTACATGCTCGTATATATAAAGTATATCCTATGGACAAGGACAATGAAGAAGGACAATGGACAAGGACACTATACATGGATAATGGACAAGGACAGTGGACAAGGACACTGGAGAAGGACAATGGACAAGGTTAATGTACAAGAACAATTGACAAGGACAATGGA